TTCTTAACCACTGGGCCACCAGGGAAGTCCCTATCCTAAAGTTTTAAATGAGGGATAGATAATGCATTTTTAAAAGCTTCAGTTGTAAGGTGAAGAATGAATTGAGAAGGGACCTTTAAAAAAACCCTTCAATTGTAAGGTGAAGAATGAATTGAGAAGGGCTAGAGAGTACCATTTGGGGAAAGTTAGGCTGTTGAACTAAGTAGTGCAGGATTGTGCGGTAGGTGGGAGATATTTGGTGTTCCAGTGAGAGTTTTCTTCCCAATCTTATCTTTTTCCAGAATGTGTATTCTTATTTACCCACTTTAATGATATGAATACTCTTTATATATCAGTGTGCTGGAGAATACGTACATCTGTGTACATGTCAGCTGAGGACAAGTGCTAGAGGAAGAAATCAATATGCAGTACTGATGGTAGGTTATTTAGATCATCAATTGTTAAATTGTATCAAAAAGTCAAAGATGACTCCAAGCAAAAGCATTAGGAATTTATTATTGGTATGTCCAGGAAAAGATGGAAGTGAGTCAAGACTAAGGGCAAAACACTGATAAATGATTACCTCCATTGTCATACTCAGCTATTTCATTCATAGTTATAATATTTGAATTCTTTATGGTAAGATTATCTAACTGTAGTGCCCAGAGGATGGGGCACCCAGTAAATGTTGTTAAATAGATGTGCCCATGGCAGGGAGTGGAGAAGCTGTTAGTTTGATTGTTTTTGAAAGCCTTGGAGTCTAGCAAGACTCAATTCTCTTTTTAGCAATACGTACAAGTACCAGTAGCCTTTTGCCTTTTGTTCTAGTTTGGGATTAATGCAGTGGGAAAGTTTGTCATTATATTTAGACGGTTAAATCCTTGGAAAGTCAGGTTTGAAATGAAAAGACTAGTTTATTGCTAGAGTCAAGAGGGGAAACATTTTCAGGAAGTTAGCTTTTAATTTATTGGGAGCTGTTCTCATGTGAATTGAAAATAGTGTAATGTGCTTAACGGAGTGTGATACATTGTAAATTTCCCACAGATGTTAATTCTATTCCATGGTTTTGTTTGGGAAGTCTCAGCCTAGGGAGAAAACTGTCTCTCACCCCCCCCCCCCCCCCCCCCCCAAAAAAAAAAAAAAAAAAAAAAGAAAAAATTTTGGGGGGACATAGTATCTTTATTTCGTGTTTAGAAATGGCTGTTTTTAGCGGAATTTCAGAGTGTTATATAAATAAGAGTATAGATTTTTCTGGGCAATTTTGATTCTGTATTTGCTTCTCACCTAGTGCTTGTTGAGGTCAGGCTGAGTCTCAGCCACACTGTAAGAGTCCTGGTGGCATGACATTGACTTCAGTACCATACACCCTTGCTGGGGGGAAGGCCAGTGAAATTCTGGGTTGTTATTTCCCTATGGGTGGACTTAAGTTTGTCTTACTGAGTAAGAATTATTATATTTATTTATATACTTAAACTTTTGGAGCAGTTTCCTAGAACTTGTGCTTTTTGCAGTACTCAGTGTGAATTTGAAGCCATCAGTATCTGTTATTTTGTTCACTGGGTGAAAGGTTGTCATTAACATTCCTCTGGTAAACAGAATACTTTTGAAAAGTGTCCAGTTATGATCATCATACTTTTAAAAACTTGGAGCTACATTTCATGAATTCTTTTCAGTATAAGCCCCCATATTCCTATACATAGCTACAAACTGCAAATTTTGTATAGTATTCAAATTTTTTACTAAATACTTTTAGGTACATGAAGGTTGTGCTTATGTATTTTGATAGATTGTTAAAAGTAGTAACTCAACAAATATACGATGGAAAACAAATTTCAAACATTTGCTTCCTTTTCGTTGTTCAGAAATTGGTTTGATATTATGACAAGAAATATTTTTGCATATATTAATAGGTAAATTTTGTAAAGGCACTACTTGATTTCAGTTTTTCTCTCATTATAGTTTGGTATTATGTCAGTGATATAGGTAGAATAAGATGATTTGTAAATCTGTAACCTAGGAGTTAAATTGCAATAACATTTTAAAAAAATATTTATTTATTTTGGTTGCTCCAGGTCTTAGTTGTGGCTCCAGAGCTCCTTAGTTGCGACACGTGGGCTCCTTACTTGTGGCATGTGAACTCTTAGTTGTGACATGCATGTAGGATCTAGTTCCCTGACCAGGGATCGAACCTGGGCCCCCTGCATTGGGAGCACTTAGTCTTATCCACTGCGCCACCAGGGAAGTCCCGCAATAACATTCTTTTAATTTATACTTTTTTTCTCTTCAAGGTTCATATAAATTATAGAAACTCTTGTTTAAAGTAAATCCAGACAGCATTTTAGAAATTGAAGGTTGAGGGTTTGTTCTTTCTTCTAGCTATCTTGTCCAGTGCAGATGGTTTTTAGTTGCATTCAAGCACAAAGAAACGTACACTTTGTTTTTTTATGTTCTGTAACATCCCTTGTCATGTTTCCTTCCTTTCTAGTTGTGTGTGTTTATTCTCTTATGACTAATAAAATTACACTGTGTGTACTAGAGTGGAGGCTTCCCCCATATCTCAAGGACTGCACAGATAAAAGAGAGGGACGTCAAAAAACCAAAACAAAAGAAGCATTTGAGAATCCTGCAGTTTAACATGAGTAGTAGGGAGTAGAAATGAAGTTGGTAGGCAGGGGTCAAATCACCCAGCAAATACTGAGTGTCTGTATATTGTCAGAGTCTGTGGTAGGTTCTGGTGATAAAAGCAAAAGAACAAGACAGATATGGTACCTGCTCTCATGGAACCTTTACAGTATCTGGGGATGTAACATTAAATAAATAATGTTATAAGATAGGTACAGGGTGTTGTGGGAATGCAGTGGTGGTGATGATTGTGGGGAGAGTGTGTGTGTGTGTGTGTGTGAGAGAGAGAGAGAGAGAGGGAGGGAGGGAGGGAAGAAACAGTTTTCCTAGCAGAGAGTCTCCAACATAGAGGGCCTCCCAAGAACTGAAAGAAGGGGCAGTATGACTGGAGTGGTGGAAGAATCGAGGTGGGGAGATTTTGGAAGACAGCAACTAGATTTGTGGGGAGCTTATTAAAGCAAGTTGAGGATTTTGGATTTTATCCCTAAAGCAATGAAAGACCCTGGAGGCAGAAGGAGGGAGATGGTTAACAAAGAGCAGTCCTCCAATATATAATACATAGTTTAAAAGCAAAGGTCCCGTGAGTGCATTCAGGATGAGTTTGGAGGCTCCTGGCAGTTTGAACTAGAAAGGTTCCAATAAGGGTAGAGAAAAAATGGCTGATTTGAAATATGCTTAGGAAGTAGATAAGATTTGTTATAGGTTAGATATGGGGATTAAGAGAGGGAAACAAGGGAGGGGAATGAGTCAGGATAATAATATTAAGTGAATTTTTGGCACTAAGCATGTCATGTGTATTAAATCATTTAATTCACCATTTTATAGATGAGGAAACTGAGACTCATTGCCTCCCTGATTTTTTAGCTTGAGGTGTTAGATGCATGATGGTGTCTCATAATTGAGGTAAAAAACTGGGCGTGGGGTGGAGGCTCAGAAGTTTAATTCTGGACATCTTGAATTTGAGATGTCTCTGAGATATCCAAGTTGAAGTGTGGAGTGGTTATTTGAAAATAAGGATTTGGAGTTCAAGAGAGAAGTCTGGGTTAGAGAGGGAAATTTGTTACTTTTTCGCAGATGACTAATGCTGGGAAGTAGTGAAAAGAGGGAACATGTGGAGCAAGAGAAGAGGGATTAGTGTGGAGGCCCGAGGCACCTGAGGGTTATGTGATTCAGAAGGAAGAAGATAAATATGAAATGGCTTGTATGCTAGGTCAAATGTTTGGACTTTATTCTGAAAATATTAGCTTTGGGATTAGTCTTTGGGCTTATTGAGCTTGAGGTGTCTGTGGGACATTCAGGGACAGAAAGGTGGGCAGTTCTTATTACTTTTCCCCATATTTTTCTAAGGATGACTTCCCTAGGTTCTTCAGAAGATCCCATCTGGGCTTTGCCTCATCCTGATTACTTTCTTCTGGTCAGTTTATCAATGGTCCTTTTACAACATAGTGGGCAGAGCTAGACACTGTTTTATTTGTGATCTGAGCAGAGTGGGTTGCCTTCACTTTGCTACATTCTGGACACTGCTTTTTCTGTGAATATAGTTTAAGATTGAATTAGCTTTTGAGGGGAGGGGAACATTATTACATAATGTTTCTCTTGCTAACAAAGTGTTTTTCATATATGATCCTGTGAAACCTTGTATCTCTTATCCTTGTGCTTTGTGCTAGCCAGATTTTGGACCTAAGTAGGAAGTCAATATTTGTGTTAAATGTCATCAGCTAGATTTACCTTATGGTTTCTGCTCTTTGTGATCTTTTTGGACCTGTTACTTAGCAATATTGAGTATCCTGCCCAAATTTGGTTCATCTATGAATTTTATAAGCATGTCATCTATGTCTACTTTTAAATAATTGATTTAAGAGCTAATCAGGGCAGGAATGAAGACAGCTGTGGAATGAACTCTGGGGCCAAAGAGCTTGGGTTTGAATTCTAGTGCTGCCACTTAAGAACTGTGTTATTTTGGGCAAATTCTTTTAACCAGTCTGTGTCTTAGTTTCCTCATCTGTAGAATGGAAATAATGATAGTATGTTTTTCAAAAGGTTGTGAGAATTAAATGAGTTATGTGTATGAAGTGCTTAGACTACCACTTGACACATACTAAGTGGTCAATCATCTAAGCTATTGTTGTTGTTTTTATCTTATAAACCATCTTAGATGTTCATACTCTTTTAACAGTATGTCCTATTATTGCTGAGTCTCAAAAAAGTGATTCAGGATGTGTAATTAGACCAAAAAGTTTATCCTTCTATAATAGGAAACATGTTTTGGAAAATGTATAAAATAAAACCTCAGCCAGATATACGTTTACTTGTTTTTTTCTAAACTGAAAGTTTTCTGATATACTAATTGAGGGGTTGTATAAAATTGAGGGCCTAATTCTTCCTCTTTCTTGATGTAGGTATGGCATCACAGCTGCAGGTGTTTTCCCCCCCATCAGTGTCGTCGAGTGCCTTCTGCAGTGCAAAGAAACTGAAAATAGAGCCTTCTGGTTGGGATGTTTCTGGACAGAGCAGCAACGACAAATACTATACCCACAGCAAAACCCTCCCAGCCACACAAGGGCAAGCCAACTCTTCTCACCAGGTAGCAAATTTCAACATCCCTGCTTACGACCAGGGCCTCCTCCTCCCAGCTCCTGCAGTGGAGCATATTGTTGTAACAGCTGCTGATAGCTCTGCCAGTGCTGCTACATCAACCTTCCAAAGCAGCCAGACCCTGACTCACAGAAGCAACGTTTCTTTGCTTGAGCCATATCAAAAATGTGGATTGAAAAGAAAAAGTGAGGAAGTTGACAGCAACGGTAGCGTGCAAATCATAGAAGAACATCCCCCTCTCATGCTGCAAAACAGGACTGTGGTGGGTGCCGCTGCCACGACCACCACTGTGACCACAAAGAGTAGCAGTTCCAGTGGAGAAGGGGATTACCAGCTGGTCCAGCATGAGATCCTTTGCTCTATGACAAACAGCTATGAAGTCTTGGAGTTCTTAGGCCGGGGAACATTTGGACAGGTGGCTAAGTGCTGGAAGCGGAGCACCAAGGAAATTGTGGCTATTAAAATCTTGAAGAACCACCCCTCCTATGCCAGACAAGGACAGATTGAAGTGAGCATCCTTTCCCGCCTAAGCAGTGAAAATGCCGATGAGTATAATTTTGTCCGTTCTTATGAGTGCTTTCAGCATAAGAATCATACCTGCCTTGTGTTTGAGATGCTGGAGCAGAACTTATATGATTTTCTAAAGCAGAACAAGTTTAGCCCACTGCCACTCAAGTACATCAGACCAATCTTGCAGCAGGTGGCCACAGCCCTGATGAAGCTCAAGAGCCTTGGTCTAATTCACGCTGACCTTAAGCCTGAAAACATAATGCTGGTCGATCCAGTGCGCCAACCCTACCGAGTGAAGGTCATTGACTTTGGTTCTGCTAGTCACGTTTCCAAAGCTGTGTGCTCAACCTACTTACAGTCACGTTACTACAGGCAAGTGGCAAATGCTAAAGAGCATGTCTTCAACTAGAGATCTGTCTTTATATTTAACATATATTACAAAGGGCTACGTATAACAATGAATTTATTTACAGATTTCAACACAGAATAGGATAATATACTTTAGTATTATCCTAAATATATTTAGTATTTAATATTCCATGTGTGTGGCATTCCTATACGTAACATTATTTTATTTCTGAAATTTTAACTCTAGAAAAATTAATTCAGTCTGATTCTGAAGGTTGTTCCTAGTTGAGTTATAGTAGCATCTGGTTCCTTCTTTACTACCGTTATACCTAATTTTCCCATTTTAAAGTATCTTTAAATATATAAGATGTTTACTTATATGTGATGAATTTGGGCATATGCTGCTATTTTTCCCAGGTTCCTCTCTTGGCAGGTAAGATGCCTTGGGAATAATTCCAAGTTTAACTCTAGCAACGTTTTATTATTTTACATTTTCTTTCTTGCATAATAGAGAGAATTGGATTAGATGATTGCTAAGGTCTCTTCTCGTTTTAATATTCTCCATAGTCCTTTGAACTTATTTGCATATGAACTTATTTGGTTCCATAGTCCTTTGAACTTATTTGCATATGAACTTATTTGGTTATCCTAAAATGGCCTTGACCCAAACACCTTATACTTTAGTGATTTATATTTCCATATTGATACTTCTAATAAAGCTACCTTTTCAATATATAATATTTATTGGGACAGAACTTAAATGCTGGTATGTAGAATTTTGTCTGTACTGTAATCAAGGAGTATTACTGAAAGAGAAGACGGGAAAGTCTTTAAATGAGCTTTTATTTCTCAGTACGTCATTTATCTGTCTAGTTATTAATTTTAAAGAATCTGATACTTATTTTAATGGTCATGCATTAAACACAGATTGTACACTCACCCAATCACGAAGTGAAACAATAAAAAAAGATAACCCACAAAATAAGTTTTATCAAGAGATATGTCCAACATGCCAAATGCCTATAATAAATTTTGAGGAAATAGAAATTCTGAACTAAGAATTTTATATTATGTGTGAAAATAATGTAAGGACATTTTAACCTGTATAGGGACTCAGAAAATATGCCATCTACATATTTTTGTTTTTCTAATTGTGATAAAACCTACCTAACATGAAGTTTACCATTAACATGTACCATTCAGTGTTGTGAAGTATCTTCATAGTGTTGTATAGCCTTCACCACTATTTCCAAATGTTTTTTATCACCCAAAACAGAAACTCTGTAACCATTAAGCAGTAACTACTCCACCCTCCTACCCCCCTACCCCTGTTACCTCTATTTGACTTTCTGTCTCTATGAAATTGCCTATTCTAGATATTGCATATAAGTGGAATCATACAATATTTCTCCTTTTGGGTCTGACTTACTTCACTTAGCCTAATGTTTTCAAGGTTAATCTCTGAAATTCTGTAGCATGTATCAGAATTTCATTCCTTTTCAGGACTGAATAATATTCTATTGCATGTATATACCACATTTTATTTATCTATTCATCTGTTGATGGACACTTGGGTTGTTTCCACATTTTTGGCTATTGTGAATAATGATGTAATATGAACATTGGCATTCAAGTGTTTGAGTCCCTGTTTTCAATTCTTTTGGGTATAAAACTAGAAGTAGAGTTGCTGGGTCATATGGTAATTCTTTAACTTTTTGAGGAACCACCAAACTGTTTTTTCTCAGCCATTGCATGATCTTATATTCCCACCAGCAATGCATGAGGATTCCAATTTCTCCATATCCTCACCAATACACCAACACTTGTTATTTTCTTTCTCTCTCTTTTTTTTCTGTTTTTTTTTTGGATAATAGCCATCCTTATGTATGTGAAATGATATCTCATATAGTTTTGATTTGCATTTCCCTAATGTTTAGTGATGGTGAGCATCATTTCATGTGCTTATTGGCCATCTGTATGTCTTCTCTGGAGCAGTGTCTTAAGTCCTTTGTCCATCTTTGAATTGGATTGTTTTTTGTTGTTGCTGAGTTGTAGGAGTTCTTTATATATTCTGAGTATTAATCCCTGGTCAGATATATGATTTGCAGATATTTTCTCCCATTCCATGGGGTTGCCTTTTCACTATATTGATAGTGTTGTTAGCACAAAAGTTTTAAATTTTGATGAAGTCCTATTTGTCTTTTTTGTTGTTGCTTATACTTTTGGTATATTCAAGAAATCGTTGTCAGGGCTCCCCTGGTGGCGCAGTGGTTGAGAGTCCGCCTGCCGATGCAGGGGACATGGGTTCGTGCCCCGGTCCGGGAAGATCCCACATGCCACGGAGCAGCTGGGCCCGTGAGCCATGGCCGCTGAGCCTGCGCGTCCGAGCCTGTGCTCCGCAACGGGAGAGGCCACAACAGTGAGAGGCCCGCATACTGCAAAAAAAAAAAAAAAGAAATCGTTGTCAAACAAATGTCATGAAGCTTTTCCCCATGTTTTCTTCAAATAGCTTTAGCTCTTATATTTAGGTTTTTGATCCATTTTGAATTAATTTTTGTATGGTATAAAGTATGGGTCCAATTTCATTCTTTTGCATGTGGATATTCAGTTTTCCCAGCACCATTTGCTGAAAAGACTGTCCTTTCTCCATTGAATGGTCTTGACACTCTTGTCAGAATCCTTTGGCCATATATATGAGGGTTCATTTCTGGGGTCTCCCTTCTGTTCCATTGTTCTAAATGTCTGTCTTTATGCCAGTACCATGCTTTTTTGATTACTGTAGCTTTGTAATAAATTTTGAAATCAGGAAGTGTGAGACCTCTAGTTTTATTTTCTTTCAAGATTGTTTTGGCTGTTTTGGAGTCTCCTGAAATTCTATATGAGTTTTAGGATGGACTTTTCTATTTCTGAAAAAAACATCATTGGTGTTTATAGCGATTTCACTGAGTCTGCACATCACTTTGCGCAGTGTTGACGTCTTAACAACATTGTCTTCCAATCCACCCTAATCTGTTTTTATCTATTCTTTTTATAGTTTTCTAAAGCTCTATCACAGTAATACTTGATGAGCCTAAGGCAAGTGGAATAGCAGCTCAGGCATTCCTTCTTTATATAAATTTTATCCACAGTGGTCCTGTGCATGTTGCATTGTTGCTTTATTAGAGTCCATTAAATCCTCACCCTCTTGTCTTTCAGAAAACCTCTCTGAAATCCTTTTGACCATTGAAGCATTCTGGCTCCAGAGCCAGCCTTCCTCTTACCCTCCTTTTTACATTGCATTGTTTACATTGCTTCATCTTGCTGATAACATGCCAAAGTACTATCAGTTGACGTAAATTTTTGCCACCATGCTGTCTCTGTTGGCCATGGGCACAGCTAAATGATTCAAGCAGTTAAAATAAAGTACTTTATTTCCTAGCCCACTGTAAATGTAAATGTAGACTAATTCCAAGAAAAGTTGCTGTCTTTGGGGCTTGAGTTTTAGGCACAAAGGTTTGTCATGCTTACAAGCTCAATGCTTTTCCATTCTGAACAGGCTAGCTGGCCTTAAAGCTGAGGTCACTTTGTTATGTACAGAAGGACAAGATCTAGATAAGGAAAACATATTTTCAGTTTATCCTAGACAAACAAACAATCCAGTTTCATCTGACACTGAAACCACAGTTAACACCTAAGCCACAGATGTAGGAAGTTAGACTTTATGTAACATCTCTTATTTGGTTTGATGCCTCTGAGATGGGTGGGAAGAAACAAGAGTGTTCATGAAGATGAGCAGAGAATGATTTGTGCTGTTAAGTGATTCCAACCTTAGCTTGCTCTGGGTTCCAGTGAAATAGAGCTTTATGACTTAGGTGGAAGTTTTCAATTTAAAGGAGTTTGAAGTTGGGAAATCAAAATGCAAGGATTGCTATTTCTACCTCCTGGTTATAGCAGTGAGAGCCTGTTTAGTATTTGTTCTCAAAGGATGGGATGTATCTTCAAAGAGGAGAGTCACCATGTCCAAAGTACAATTAATGCCATTTTCCTACTAAAGGGAAGACTGCTAGTTTTGTTTTCCTTTTTCCTGTGCTTTAATAGGTAATCTTTTTTACTGCCCAGTTGTTAGGATGTCAGAGCTGGAAAGGGACCTAGAAGAGTAATTAACTTATTATATAGATGAAGTAGAACCAGAATTTCAGTGTATAGTTTATATTGAGGGATTGAGAAATATTGGAGGCCAAGGGGAAAGATGATATAGTAATGAAAATATTATCAAGAATCTTGATTTGAATTCAGAGGTTAAAACATTCAGTCTTTAGAGGTGAACCTGCTCTAAATGATGTTCAGTAAAAGAAGATAACTTAAGTCTTTTTGCTTCCTGGAGTTTACATCAGTCTAACATTTTTAGGCTCTAATGAAAGTGAAAAGTCCTCAATAGACTGAGCAGCCTTATTTTATTTTACTTTATTTTTACTGCTTTCCTTGTTTTTCTTTTGATACTTACCTTTTTGCATGGTAGATGTGGTAGAGTTAACTGTTTTGGGTGAGCTTTTACTTGAAATACTTAGCTGCTTTTGTTACTCCAGAAGCAGAGCAAGACCAAATGGAAAAACTGATTCCAGTCAGTCTTCAGGGTTTTTTTGTTTAGTGGGCTTGGGAGATGGAATTAGTGTTTTTCTTAATTTCCCTTAAACTTTAAGCCTTAGAAGCCTAACAGTTATCACATCTTATGGCTACCTTTTTAAAGAAGTAAGTTATTGGGTGGCCTGGCCCCTCCCTGTGACCTGCCTTTTGGATTTTAAAATGTCTTCCTGGTATAGTAGGAATGGCAAAATCAATCTGCTGCTCTTCAGTTGATGTTTAGGAATGTTCTAAGCCCAGTTTTTATTTTGGCACAAAGCCATTTGCATTCTCCCTGCCAGCTATTTTTGGCACTGTCATGAACTTAGAAATTAATGAGTCTGCTCAGTGAAAGTAAAAATTGTGTTCCTTTTCAATTTTAGAAAGGCTTTTATGTTTCTGGGTACTCTTACCCTCTAGTTTATTAATGCTATCAAACATGCCACAGTGGTTGTATTTAATTGAACTCTGAAATTCCATCAGTAATATGGGGCTCTAGCCACCTGCAATAGGAATATCACTTTTTTATTTTCTTTGGCTAACAGAACCACAGTTCACATTAAATAGCCCCAAAACTGATGGTATTAGTCGTTCCACCCTTAGCTGTCAAATAGTGTAAGTCCCAGCAGGCCTGGATCTTCTGCTGTTTCTGTGCAAGGATCAGGAAAGTTTTTAGACCCTTTGGAGTCCTCTAATTTACCATTTTCTAGGGGCTACTTAGAAAATTACTCTGGGAGGATATTCTTATTTAGGGAAATATCTTTATACCCTCCCCACTCAGTCTTTGTCTGCCCCCCTCCCCCATACACACAACACAACAATAAGCACATACTACTTAAGAATAAAATTTGGGAAACCTAGGCACTTCATGAGGAGCCATGGCCAGTGGTTCCTAATGGAGAGATCTGCTTTTCCATTTAGCTCCTGATTAATGAGGGATCTGGATCTGGAGTGTCCTTACAGATTCAAATTCTGTGACTTGTAAGAAGAAAAGGAAATTATTTGGAGATGATAAAGTGTTTCAGAGCTCAGACCTTGGATCCAGACTGCCTGGGCTCCAGCCTTGGGCAAGTTACTTAACCTGCCAGTGCCCAGTTTCTACATCTGTAAAATGGAAATAATACTTTCTTACATAGAATCTAAGGTGCCATTGATTGTAAGATGAAATATAATATTATTTATGTACCAATAAGAAAGTAAAGGCACTGCCATTAAACTAAAATATATCATCATTTGCAGGAATCTTCTTAATTTCAGAGATGTTAAAATGTGAAAAATGTGTACCTTATAATTGATGACTTAACAGTGATAAGATATACTTTCATAGGATTGTTGTAAGAATTAAGTGAACCCCACATTTTAAAGAACTTAGTGCATGGCACATACTAAGTACTATATAAATGTCATCTATTATTAATATAACCTATTATTATCATCCCCCTTTTGAATCCATTTATCTCTTAATTTTAGTTACAATTTGAAAAATACCATGTATACCACCATGCCAAATAGATAGGTATGTATTTAACTTTTACTTATTTAGAGACAGTATAATGTACTCAACTTCAGAGCTAGGCTACCAGGATTCAAATTCTAGCTCTGCCACTTATTAACTGTGTGATTTTGGGCAAATTACTTAATCTATTTGCCTCTGTTTCCTCCTCTATAAGTATAACATAGAGGGGATAATAATTTTGCCTTGGATATATTCATATAGAGAGAGCTCTTAGTTTATGGTATTACCATAGTTTTCTCTTTAAGGTTTCGTAGGGTTGGGTTTCTCACATGGAGCGTTAGTGGAAATGAATATTTCTGAAGGCACACAGAGAGTTCAAAGTTTTAAAAGAATGATGGTATAATAATAATAGTCATTGTTTTATCTAACACTTACATAACACACCATGTGCCAGGCACTGGTCAAGAGCTTTAATATTTGAACGACATCATTATCATCATTATTTTTTACTTATTTATTTTAACCTTACCACAACCTTATGTAGTAAGAGGTACTCATCTCCATTTTATGAATGAGGAACCTGAGGCTCATAGTGGGAATCAGCCGCATAGCACAGGGAGATCAGCTCAGTGCTTTGTGACCACCTAGAGGGGTGGGATAGGGAGGGCAGGAGGGAGATGCAAGAGGGAGGAGATATGGGGATGTATGTATATGTATAGCTGATTCACTTTGTTATACAGCAGAAACTAGCACACCATTGTAAAGCAATTATACTCCAATAAAGTTGTTAAAAAAAAAAAAGAACCTGAGGCTCAGAAAGATTAATTGCCTACAGATGTTAAATAATGGAATTAGGATTTGAACCACTGTGTCTCTACAGAAGGCATTTCTGTCATAAAGGGGTATTTATTGATCAGGCCATTTAATTGATTTTTCTGTAATTAAAAAGTTTCTAAGAATAAAAAGAATTAAGTCCATAATCCCTTATCTGTAATTTCTAAATTCAGAAAGCTTTCAAAGCTAAAAATCTTTTTCTAAGTTTGGTATAAACTTATTTATTGGCAAGACCTGGCTTGAATCAATGTAAGGCTGTTTAAAGTATTTGTCTGACTTAGTGTGATTGCTCATATGTTTTGTTGCAGAAGTATTAATGTGTTTGATTATGGGATGCTTCCCTACACTCCATTGGGATTATTATAAAGTATGTAGTTTATGCATGGGTAGTACCTTTCTGAAATTCAAAAAGCTCTGAATTTCAAAACACATCTGGGGCTAAGAGTTTCGAATTATGGATTTTATACCAAAGATTGTTTTCATTTTCATTAAATCAATGTACCTTTACCTGATACTAAAACAAGACTTAATCAACATAGTTAGTTTCCCAAAATAATGTGTAATTTTTTTAATTTGCTATTTTTGTTTTTGCTAGAGCCCCTGAAATTATTCTTGGATTACCATTTTGTGAAGCTATTGATATGTGGTCATTGGGCTGTGTGATAGCTGAGCTGTTCCTGGGGTGGCCTCTTTATCCTGGTGCTTCAGAATATGATCAGGTAAGAGTGTTTATTTGGATGGCAATAGAAAGCAAGTAGTTACTGATGAAAGGTTCTAGAGGAATAGAAGTACTAGTGAAGTATTTATTTAGGTTGTAGGGAAAGAATAGTCCAATTAAAAATAATTTTTTAAAGAATAGAATTTTCTCTACCTGCTTCTTAGTCTGAAGTTATATTTGCAATTCTAAACTTTAAAAAGGATTTTATTTTATATTACTTTAGGTTGCTACTTTTCCAGGTCTGTAATGATTTATTAGAGACTTAACTTGTCAGCCAATATGTCTTGTGAATTAGGATATGAAAGTAGAGTAAGGATGTGAAGTTGGAATTTTAAGAGCAAACTTTGGCTCATTTAGTGCTATTTATTCCTTTTTATACATGACACACACTGAAGTAATTACTATCTGCATACCGAAACACATTGGACCCTAGAAGTTGTGATGTGTATTAGGTCTCTGTAACATAGGATTTAGGAGGGAAATCTTATGAGTTGAAAAGTATTGTAACAAATTATCTATGTTTCAAAACAGACAAGCTTTAGAAGATATGCTACAACTTCCTAAGAAACTGGTCCTAAGGAAAAAAGTTTTGCCATGGAAGTAAATTGTGAATTCTCATTTTTTGTTCTTAAAAAAAAATGGTTCTATGGTTATTTTAAACCATTAAAAGAGAAAAGAGCAAAACAGTGTTTTTCCCTATTCAACCTGGCATTTTGACTCCTCAGTCCATTTTACAGTAGATGTAACATTTACCAACTTCCAAAAATTTGACTCTTTGGATTTGTCTCTGAGTGAGACATAAAAAATGAGTTGTTCATATGATAAGTAACCAGTTACATTGAGCTTTGTAATTTTTCAGTCTTTCATCCACCTTGTGAGACGTGAACCACCTTCCTTATTTTAACAACAACAACAAAGAAGTGTGAGGGAGATTAAATGATGCAAAACCACAGTTACTTGAACCAGTCCATTGATTCTCCTCTTTCGGTTTTAGACTCTTGAGAATCTGATGAAGCTATGGATCTTCTCAGAAAAATATGCTCACAATGTTTTATATACAAAGTTAGGGAATTCGTGGACCCCCCGATTAAGAAAACTTGCTCCGAGCAACTATAGCCTCTAAAGTGCCATTCCTAGGCCAAATGTTTTGTGGCATCTCTTCAGCCTTAGTAAACAGATTGCATTGTAAATATTCCTAGGAAGTGGAACCAAATAAAATTAGATTTAGAAGCTAAGGTACAATGGGGGGTTACCTTGTAAAGAAATGATATAGTAGTTTTGAGAATTTTTGCCTGGTGCACAGATGTGAAAATGGGTTGTAGGAGAAAGTTGTTTTTTTCCCATGCTTAATAATGAATAAATAGGGTGTTGCTGTTGTAGAGCAGGATTGGGAATACTTTATCTTGATGCATCTTTGCTTATATAGAAAGATTCCTGTGGCAGGATCCTTGTTCTTACAGCTGAGTTTTTTTAAAAACAACTTTATTGAGATATAATTCACATACCGTATAATTCAGCCATTTAAAGTGTACAACTCAGTGGTCTTTAGTATGTTCACAGGTTGTGAACCATAGCCATAATCAGTTTAGAACATTTTCATGACTCTAAAATGAAACCCAGTACTTACTAGCAGTCAGTACCCATTCTTCCCTAACCACCCCACCACCACGCTGGGAGCCAGTAATCTACTTTCTGTCTGTATAGATTTGCCTATGCTAGCATAGCATATTCATCACATACAATATGTGGTCTTTTGTGCTGGGCTTCTTTTACTTAGCATGATGTTTTTCATCCATGCTGTTGCCTGTATCAGAACTTCATTACTTTTTATGGCTGATCAGTGTTTCATTGTGTGTATGTCTATATGTATATGTGTGAGTGTGTGTGTGTGTGTGTGTGTGTGTGTGTGTGTGTATGTATATGTATATATGCCACGTTTTTTTATGTGCTCATCTGTTGATGGACACTTGGGGTGTTACCACCTTTTGGCTGTTGTGAATAATGGTGCTATGAATATTGGTGTACCAGGGTTTAAGTCCCTGTTTTCCATTTCTTTGGGTATAAAGCTAGAAGTAGAATCGCTGAGTGTCTTGCTAATTCTATGAGTGTCTGAGAAAGTATATGAATAGATTATAGTTGAAAACTTCCCTAACATGGGAAAGGAAATAGTCAAGCAGGTGCAGGAAGCACAGAGAGTCCCATACAGGATAAATCCAAGGAGAAACACGCCAAGACACATATTAATCAAACTGTCAAAAATTAAACACAAAGAAAAAACATTAAAAGCAGCAAGGGAGGGCTTCCCTGGTGGCACGGTGGTTGAGAGTCCGCCTGCCGATGCAGGGGACATGGGTTCGTGCCCCGGTCTGGAAAGATCCCACATGCCGCGGAGCGGCTAGGCCCGTGAGCCATGGCCGCTGAGCCTGCGTGTCCGGAGCCTGTGCTCCGCAACGGGAGAGGCCACAACAGTGAGAGGCCCGTGTACCGCAAAAAAAAACCCCAAAAAACAAACAAACAAACAAAGACAATAATACTTTCTGTTTGCATAAAGGTAAGGTGGGGCCTTTGTTGTTGCATTATTTTAAGCTATGTGAAAAGCAGTATCTGTATGATAGTTCCCATTCTACTTTCACAGTTTAACTCTTTTCATTCTATAATATTAAACATTTTTAATGTTTTAATATTGTAAGTGCATTATTGTAGAGAAATTAGAAAAGATGCAGTAAGCCAAGAGACAAAAATTTCAACCTTTAGTGGTTCTACCCCTCAAAGGTAACCTGTTACGTTTTGGTATATTTTGTATTTATTTATATATTTTAATTTATTAATTTTCTTTATGTATTTATTGACTACTGTCATAGGTACTCTGGTTACTGGGGATACAGTGCTGAATAAAACATTGTCCTTGCCCTCATGGAGGCTATAGTTTGGTGGTGGGAAATAGACATTAAGTAAATCACACAAATAATAATATAGTACAATTGAGATAAATTCTATGAAGGGAAATGTAGTTTTGCAGTTTGTGTGTGTGTGTGTGTGAGAGAGAGAGAGTGTGTGAGAGAGAGAGAGTGGACATGCACGCACACGTGTGCACATGCATGTATGGACATGCATGTATCTCCTGACCATGTATGTCCTAATGCCTCGTGATTATACTCATTTTTTCCTATTGCTATTACCCTCGTCCAGGCTGTCTTCATCACTTACATGGGCTACTAGACAACCTCCCTTTTACCTACTCTGGCCTCCCTCTAGTCTTTTTTCCAGAGTGTTTTTTTTTTCAGAACACAAATTTGATCATGCCACTCCCCTGCTCTTTAGTGGTTTCCCATGATTTAGAATTAAGGGCTAAATCCTTAATATGGCCTCTGAGCCTCTACCTGGGTTGTTCTCCTCTTCCTCTCTTCCTTTCAGGATTTGATCTTATACCATTTCTTCTTGCTTTTCTTGCACTAGCCCCACTGGCATCATTTCAGCACTGGTTAAGAATGTTTCCTTCTAGCACAGGCCCTCACACATACTGTTCTCTTAGTCTGGAATGCTTCTCCACCACCCATTCATTTCGTTTAGTCAGTCCCTACTCATTTATTAGCTAACGTGTCACTTCTTCAAGTATGTTTTCCTCACCAGTCCCCAGTCTAGGTCAGGTTCCTTTGTTATGTATTTTTATAGAAGCCTGTTTATTTTCTTCAGGATGCCAATTCAGTTTGAATTATGCATTCAGTGTCTGTTTCCCTCACTTGACTGCAAAGTCTATGAGAGCAAGAACCATGTCTATTTTAACAATCACCACTGCCTGGCTTAATAAGTACTTACTGAAAGAATGAATATGTGCTACATATAGTTATGTTTCATATATAAACTTACGGACATAGAGGAATACATATACTGTGTTTCATCAAATCTAAGACACTGTTGATTGAGAGATGAACTACTTTTCTGTACCTCTAAGAAAGAATGCTTCCAATTAAACCATGATTTATCATGGCTATCAGTTTTAAGACATATCCTAATTTCAGAGATGTTAATGTGAAAAAATGTGCCTCTTAGAATCAGTGAAGTGTAATTTTTTTAAGTGAGGTCATATTTAATTTGTAATCTGCTTTTTCAGTTAGTATATTATGAAATATCTTTCTTTACAATGTCGATAAATATACTTTTACCCTATCATTTAAAATGTCTGCATAGTATTTCATTGTACAGATTTTATCCTGGATTTTAAATTCCCTTTTTGTATGGAAAATAAGTTCACATTTAAAATGTTCTCATCCACATCAATTTTTTTTTTTTTCTATTTTGCCAATGCTGTATTTTGGCTTCCAGTTAGGTACCTCTCACAGATTCAGAGTAATATCCTGCTGTTTTCTAAAATTGTCTTGTGACGGCCGGCTAGATTTGGCCTGTAGGCCATAGTTTTCTGACCTCTGCTTTACACTCTTAAAAAATTGTTGAGGACCCCAAAGAGCCCTGTTTATGTAGCTTATATCTATTAATATATATTGCATTAGAAATTAAAACTGAAATTTTTGGGGAGGAGAGGTGAGAAGTAAGATTTCCTTGCTTAAAAGTTTCTTTCTAATTTCGTCATTAAATATAGCCATTCTTATGTGGAGGGGGGGATGGTTAAAAAAATTACCTCTTGTTTTACTTTCAGTAGGTCAGGAAAGAAGCAGATTGCTTTTTTGGATAGGGAGAATTGTGAAAGCAAACAGAAATGTGAACAATAAAACTGGGAAACTTTTATTTTTATTTTTTAAAATATTTATTTGGTTGTACTGGGTCTTAGCTGCGGCAGGTGGGCTCCTTAGTTGTGGCACGTGGGCTCCTTAGTTGCAGGAGGTGGTCTTCTTAGTTGTGGCACACAGGCTCCTTAGTTGCGGGAGGTGGGCTCCTTAGTCGTGGTATGCAAACTCTGAGTTGTGGCATGCATGTTGGATCTAGTTCCCTGACCAGGGGTCAAACCTGGGCCCCCTGCATTGGGAGCGCAGAGTATTATCCACTGTGCCACCAGGGAAGTCCCAAAACTGGGACACTTTTAAAACACAAGAATATACAGGCACATGTCTCATTAGCCATCAGAGCAGTGACATCATCACACATCACCTCTGGAAATCTCTATACCCATGAGAAAGAAATGAAAAAGGCAAATAACTTCTTAGTATTATTATGAAAATAGTTTATATTTCATAGACTCCCTAAAAGGATCTTGGGGACCCCTAAGTGTTCCCCAGACCACACTTTGAGAACTGCTGGTCTAGTTCAAAGTAGGTGTTCAATAAATATTGAATGGGGACTTCCCTGGTGGCACAGTGGTTAAGAATCGCCTGCCAATACAGGGGACACGGGTTCGATCCCTGGTCCGGGAAGGTCCCACATTTCTCTAGGCCACGGAGAAAGTAAGCCCGCGAGCCACAACTACTGAGCCTGCGTGCTACAGCTAGTGAAGTCTGTGCGCCTAGAGCCTGTGCTCCACAACAAGAGAAACCACCGCAATGAGAAGCCCGTGCACCATAGCAAAGAGTAGCCCCTGCTCTCCACAACTAGAGAAAGCCCATGCACAGCAATGAAGACCTAATGCAACTAAAAATAAAAATAAAAATTGAATGAATGAACATAGTACCTGCCTTTTATTGATGGGGGGATAGAGAAACTAAATTGTTTAATTTTATGGTATGAGCAATTTAGAGTGGGGACAATTGACAAGAGCTAGAGTAGCCAAGGAAGGAAGAGATTTATGGAAATTTTTTCCTAATCTCTTAAATTTGATAATGTATGAACAAACAAACAAAACCTTGGTAATCCATGAAATAGTTTGTTGGAAACTATTCTGTTCTGTCCTAGAAATTTCTTATAGTTTTTTGAACTCTGTATCAGAAATCTACCAAAAAAAAAGGTCACACAGAAAATTTTCAAAACTGAGTTTTCCTTGTAAATAATAGGTATAGTAACAAGGAAGTTACTGAATAAATATTTGGGAATTATCTGTGAGTGGGTTAGCATATATATCTACAGATAAATTTCATTTGTATTGATCAAATAGTTAATTTCTTTGCAGTACCTTTCTTTTTTTTTGACTAGAGCTAATATTTATAATATTTTAGTGTAAAAGTTTTTAATAATTTACCTTTTCACTCCAAATCAATGTTTTGATGGTTTTGACATTTCAGATTCGTTACATTTCACAAACACAAGGCCTGCCAGCTGAATATCTTCTCAGTGCCGGAACAAAAACAACCAGGTTTTTCAACAGAGATCCTAATTTGGGGTACCCACTGTGGAGGCTTAAGGTCTGACTCCCTTGCTATACTATACTATTCATTCCTGTACTCCTTAATTCCAATTTGAATTCAAAATTTAGTTATTAAATTCTTGAGGTGGAGGGGGGCAAAAGGGGGGACAGTGGGAATTTTCGTTTGCAGGAGCAAATACTTTGAGAAATTATATCATTGTACCCGTATGGCCTTATCCTTAGTTAAAAAAACAAAACATTAAATGCCAGTTCAATTGGCTGAGGTTATTTTATATATTTGAATCAGCAGCTAAGAAGGGGGTATGGAGAGTAGTGCTTATCATTAAGTGATAGGAAGAACTAGAGTAATTTAGTAGTGGCTGTTTTTTAGAGAATTCTCAATAAATATGACAAAACAACACAATTTTATAACTGCCCATATTAAGACCTTACTTATTTTCTTAAAACAAATAGATGTCTGAGTAATTTGATTAACCCAGTGACTCTGTCTCTGAGCCTATTGAATAGTTAGTATTTGAAATATTGTTTCATTTGAAAGTAACTTTTAGAGAAAAATGGTAATGTCTCTTCTTAACTGACATTCTTCAGGAACTGTGCTACATCATTGCTTGCACATTTATTTTATCATTGTTGAAAGGGTGGCCAGGTATCAAGGTCCCATCTCTCTACCGGAAGATTTTCTTGTTGTAAATTACTTCCACGTTTGTGATCTCTGGTTGGCAAGGTGACAACACTTGTATCTCTGTATTCTGACTTTAATTTAGAATAAGAGGTGAAAACATACAGATGGAATTTTTTAAAAATCTGTATTTTGTAGACACCTGAAGAACATGAATTGGAGACTGGGATCAAATCAAAAGAAGCTCGAAAGTACATTTTTAATTGTTTAGATGATATGGCTCAGGTAAGCATGGAAAGTTTCAGAAAGCCAGACATTTATGTATCTCTTTAATCAGAGATACACTTCCATTGGTTATATTAAAGATAGATTCAATTTGTTATCGTCTAATATATGTTTTCATTTTTTACATAAATACATTAATATTCTTCCACATATTAAAAGGATGTTTGAATCCTAGCAAAGGATATTTTTAGAATTTATATATTTCTCCTTTGCTTTTGCTTAACTAGTCTTTTGCATGTCAGTATTTTGAAATATTATTTACGAAGGTTCCTTTCTTGTCCATTTTTTCTACTAAATAAATACTTACATAAGAGCTAACATTTATTTAGTGCTTTTGTTCCAAACTCTGTCTAAACACATACTATGTCATTTAATCTTTTCAGCAATAGAAACTATATTTAAGTAATAACAATCATTTTTACTTAACTTCTTTGATCTGGATTTTGAATGAAAAGAGCTTATTCAGCTTTATTCTACCAACAAACTGTACCAAATTGAAGATTTTAATTAGACAGTATAAGAAGAGCTTCCATTTGTGAAAAAATTTCCTCAGGTTTTTCTCTTGAGCTATATATATACACACACACACACACACACACACACATATTATACATATGAATATTATATATATAAATATGTATACATAGTGCACATGTTAAATGTCAGCATTAAAGGTTGAGTGATGAAGTATAATATTTCTAAATTTTCCTTGTAAGGTGAACATGTCCACAGACTTAGAGGGAACAGATATGTTGGCAGAGAAGGCAGATCGAAGAGAATACATAGATCTGTTAAAAAAAATGCTAACAATTGATGCGGATAAGAGAATTACTCCTCTGAAAACTCTTAACCATCAGTTTGTGACAATGACTCACCTTCTGGATTTTCCACATAGCAATCAGTGAGTATAGTATGGTCTGGGGCATTTTGCCATGATGTGGTTTTCTGTTGAGTTACCATCTTACAGATAAATGGAAGTATCACAAGAGTAGTGGCTTTGATACTTGCATATTTGGCTTACTGATGCTTTTCCTTCTCATTGAAAAATCATGAAATTAAAAATTAGATGTGTAAAAAAAAATTAGATGTGTATTTTTCCTTTTTATGGTTATAAAAACTCTTGGTTCATTTGCTCTGAAAGTACTCAGGGGTAAAAAACCATTAATCTGTATTTATCTTGAGTTATTTGCTATCTGTTTAAATCTTGGCATTTTTTTCATTGAATTTTTAATCTCTTTTTTCAGTGTTAAGTCTTGTTTTCAGAACATGGAGATCTGCAAACGGAGGGTTCACATGTATGATACAGTGAGTCAGATCAAGAGTCCGTTCACCACGCATGTTGCCCCAAATACAAGCACAAATCTAACCATGAGCTTCAGCAACCAACTCAATACAGTGCACAATCAGGTATTCAGTAAATGATTTTGGGAACTCAGACCTAAGTGGGATAAAAACTAGTAAGAGTACAGGGTGAGGTAGAGAAACCAGTCTTTGCTTTGGTGGTCTTGTAGCTTCGTAAGAATTTTCAGACTGATAATACCTACACATCATGTGCTGACAAAAATTAAAAACAAAGGCCTAATCCATGCCCTCATAGTCTTAGCATAGCCAAATAAGTGGAACCTGGCTTCTGTACTACTTACTGCTGTTGATTATACTGACTTCAGCCAAATGACTCTCTTTTTGTTAGATAGCTCTCATTACATGTATCGAAAGGTGTTCCCAATCATTTTTTTCTATGCTGTATATTAGGTCCTCAGAATTTACTCATCTGATAACTGGAAGTTTGTACTCTTTGACCACCTCTCCAGCCATCTCCTACCCTGCCCCACCAACTACTGATCTACTCTTTGTTTCTGTGAATTCCAATAATTAACTTTAAGAGTGGTTTTGCATTTGTTTGCCAAACAGTGATATTTACATTTAAGTTTGTTTCTGAAGATGGAAGTTTCCTAATTTCTTAGCTAGGTCTACTTTCTAAATGGAAGATCATATGAGATTTGGTGGGATCTCACATCCAGTAACTTTTTGCAAAGAAAGAAGAAGTAGGGGTTTATTTATATAGCCTCAACCAGAGCAGGACTTTTTTTTTATTCTTTGTTTTCTTTTTCAGCTTTATAATCTACCTTAAATTTAACAGATAGGAAGAATTTCTTAAGCAGAGAGTTATTTCAAAGACAGTTAACATTACATTTTAAAACTTCATTGTTAGTTTTTCTGGATAGAATCTATGTATGTAAAAATGTTTATACCAGTATCCTTTTGTTTTTAGGCCAGTGTTCTAGCTTCCAGTTCTACTGCAGCAGCTGCTACTCTTTCTCTGGCTAATTCAGATGTCTCACTGCTAAACTACCAGTCGGCTTTGTACCCATCATCTGCAGCACCAGTTCCTGGAGTTGCCCAGCAGGGTGTTTCCTTGCAGCCTGGAACCACCCAGATTTGCACTCAGACAGATCCATTCCAACAAACATTTATAGTATGTCCACCTGCTTTTCAAAGTAAGTGGGGAAACTCCTATATCATATGGTATATATCAGACCTACCTGCTTTAGGCAGATCCTAAGTAAGTATCTAGTTGTTTAGTTTTGATCTTTGACAAGTTTAAACTCAGTCTTTGATTATGAAGATAACTGAAGTAGGTTGATCTTTTTTACGTTGGTTATTTGTCTAATTATGATGCTATCTGACACATAGGCATTCAATTAATGTTTCCTTATTTGAACTGCCTGATAACCAGTTTTCTTGCCCATTGAGACCTTGTACTGATGTCCTATATCTAGCATAAACATGTATCTCTCAATGTTCAGAGTATATACATCTTGAAAAAAACTTGTTGGAAATAGAACTGCTATATATTGAATCTTATTCCCTGTATCATTCCATTATAAAATAAAATTAGTATTCCAAATAAAAGGTAATTCTATTAAAAAATGTAAAAATCATGTTTAAGAATGTAGAAACCTCTTAAGTTACATTCAGAAGTAAAGATCATTATTGAACTGAAAAATTCTACAAGCTGAGGTATTTGTGTGGGTAAGGCATTAAGATTATCTGCTTCAGCTTATGAATTATATTGTTCCTGCAAACTCCTATCAGTAGAGGAACAGAATAGCTGAAGAAGGGGGCTCTCACCTGATGTGTTGCAATAAGATTTTAATTTTTACATTTCCATCCTTCCTCATTTTCTCGTTGTTCCGTGTTTATTGATCTGGTGAGCTATTTAAAAGGTTAAATAAATTATTTTAAGGATATATTCTGATGACATCTTGACTTTCCCTATAGAAAGTCAATGTCATGCCCTCTGGGAATAAACCAGGATTCAGGCTTCTCATAGCAGTTCACACAGAAGCAGTTAGCATTTTTATCTTTTTACTTCAGCTACTTATTGACTGTGACTCTTATTTGTTTGGTTTCTGACAGAGTCAGAGCAAACAGAAGGAAAAGAGGGGCTAGGGGAGATTGAGAGATTACCGGGAGTACAGGAGAGCGATAGCAATGTAAATCAGGGAGAAACCACAGGGAGAGAGGAGGAGCAGATTCAAAACCCGTAAATGCAAATTTAGCCTAATTTACCCAATTATTTTTTTCGTATGCTTCATAATAGTAAATTCTATACTTTGGGTTGTCATATGTTGAGTGATTCTTCTACTGAACTTAGCAAATAGCCACCCCTCTCCCCTTCACCTTTCCCAAAGTGAGTTCCATTGGAATACTTTTCAGGTGTGCAACTGAAGTTTTCTGCTTCTTCTCAGATGATATTTAAGAGATGAGGCAGAAGAACTTTTAGTTCCTTTAACAAAACAAAATGTGAGGAGAAGAGGTAGAGGGGGAAAGTGGTTTAACCCCTTTTGGTATAATTAGGGAAGTATAAGCTTTGGAAATTTTTTTCCTATTTAGGAAGTCTAAATAACCTGAGGAGCTAGATAGAGCAAATTTTAAAATTTACAAATGAAAGGGAGTTTTAAAATGAAAGTGATGACAGTAATGAAAACTGATATGTATTAGTTACTACATGCCAGATAATGTTCTAAGTGCTTTTACATGTATGTATTCATACTCACAGACAACCCTGGGAAGTGGATAATGTCATTATGCCCAATTTATAGGTGAGAAAACTGATCGTGATTCCCTCATTTGCCCAGTTTTTATGCCCAGTCAGCGGTAGGGCCATGCTTTTGAACCCAGGCAGTGGACCCATAGCTTATACATCTTGAAGTGTTATACTCTGTACTGCCTTTCAGTGTCTAAACTCAAAGAGCTGTAGGGAGTTGTCAGTTCATTTGCCAACCACAGCCATATGCTGGTTTCTGCCCAGCAGGCCTCTGTACCAGGTTGCCTACTTTTCTTTCACCATCTGCTCTTTCACAAGATGCCTACACTTAGAGGAGAATAGACCCTCATCCATTTGACAGCTTTACTCTTCTTGCCATACTTTCATGTTTTTTTTAATTTAAAGGGCTATGTTCAACAAAAACAAAAAACAAAACAAATAATAAAAACAAAACTTTAATCCAAGTTCAGGGTTCAGGGAGAACCTTCCCAAAGGGTTGCCTTTTGTTAATTCTTTGTTTCCACTTGGGGTTCCCTGCAAAAGCTAGTTTTAAACTAGCTTGACTGCTGTGGCTTAGCCTAAATTACTATAGCAATCTAATACTTATTTAGAGTCACATTTGTGGGTCAGTATATAAATACTACTTTCTATAGTATTCCAGTTGACCAAAATAGACATTTTGCTCAGTGGAAACTATAATTCTGTAATTTTGTCCTCTTTTATTTCATCATCCTGGGACACAAAGATGAGCTTCTATAGTGAACATTTCTTCCTAAATTTTGCCGTAGGAGGCTATTGCAATAATGTTGTCTTGTAGTTAGCCATGGAAATATAGACAAGAATCCTTGATGTTACTTAGCTTTCTGATTAGATAGCATTGCCTTAGGAAGAATGGCTGGCAATTTTTTTTTTTTTAATCTGGATACCTGGATTTGTTTCCTTTTCTTTTTATGTAAGTAGCACTTTTAAAAAAGTTATTATTAGAGTGTTGTAATTCTGATTTTACTAGTCTCTTTTACTTTGTACATTTCTGGATTATGTTTTCCTATGTGACAATTAGTTACTAAATTAAATTACTGAAATGCAAAATTGGAAGACTTAGCTTGCTGAAAACAACAATATTAGAGTTTATGAGTTATGCTCATTTGATACCTCCATAGTAATATTCAGAGAAATTAGTTGGTGATAGCCTAGAAAGTGTCACTGAAGGAATATTCTAATTAAAATGGCTGTATCCTCACTGAACAAAATGCAAGCATCAGTGAATCAAGAGGCATTATAGAAACTTAAATTCTTTACGTTGAAAGCCTTGATAGGGTAGGTTTAAAAGAAAGTTTTGAAGGTTCTCTTCTCAAGTCTTGGCAAAAGGGAGAACTATCTTGAGCCCTTCTTTTCCCCAGAATGAGATACTCCTGATTGCAGGAAACATTTATTCAACATTTGTGCCCAGAGGATAATGAATAAAATGATAAAGAGACATGGTCACTGTTCTAAAGGCAGCAAAAAGTTCTTAATTTTCCTAGCTTTCCATTAGCTAGAGAAGAGCTTTAGAAAGCTGTCAGTGACGAGAGCAGATTTCTAAAATAAGTACAAAAAAGTGTTTCTGTAAACCACAATGTCTGCTTTTAAAATATTTTTATCCTAGGCATAATTCCTTCAGTTCACATACTGGTTAAAGATAAAATATATGACTAAATTGTGAACTAGGTTATATATTTTTGAGCAGTTGGGTAAAAACATCCCCTTAAAATAGTCTAAATAAAAGGGTAACCAAGATAATAAATTATTGAGCTTTTCATAATGTTTCTTATCTAATTAACCAGAAGTTATAAAGTCTTTGCCTTTAATAGATTACACTTTTTAAATGCTTAAGTGTTTTTTTTCCCTCTAGGATTAAAAGCTGAACATAACTTACTAAGTGAAGGTTTTTTGTTTGTTTTTGCCTCTGCTGTTAATGGGAGTGGGATGAGTGTTGTGTTTTAAGCTTTGTTGGATAAAAAAAAAAAGTTTTGAATTTCCTGAAGCCAGCCCTCCCTCTGTCAGGCATCTTTCCATTAATCCAACCTGAAGGGAATCAAGTCTCCCTTTTCTTAACTTCCCAGACTTTGGTGAAACGCCTTTGTCTTAAGTGTCTAGAACTAAAACCTGGGTGGTAGATTTTTCGAACCAAAAAGCTAAAAACAAACCCAAAAACCCCCAAACAAGCAGTATCCCCAGACCTAGCAAAGCAATATAACTGTGATGTTACTTTTTACAGCTGGACTACAAGCAACAACAAAGCATTCTGGATTCCCTGTGAGGATGGATAATGCTGTGCCAATTGTACCCCAGGCACCAGCTGCTCAGCCACTACAGATACAGTCGGGAGTTCTTACACAGGTAAAAGACAGAGCAGCTTGGATACTCAATAGTGCTGAAGTTCTCTGAAGCACTGTTGAGAATCAGATATTTTGTCCTAGAAAATGATATTTGCTTTGACTGTAAGATCTTTCTTGGTCACGATTCAGTGGACTTAAAATGAAACATCTATAATGGAATGACATACTCATTCCTAACACTATTGCAACTCTGCCAGTGACTTCCTTAGACTTGGAGACATAAATATCCAGACTTTGAGAAATTGTCTACTGAGTAAACTTAATTTTGTGGGATGAAGTTAATTTTTTATCTTGATGCTCTTAAAGGTATAGGACACATGTAACAACACTTTGATTCTAAAAGTAAAAGGTTCCCCTTTTGCTCTCTTAGTGTCCCCATTACTCACTCCTTGAGAATTTCATCACAGATGAGAGGCTGGATTATATCAGGATGCCTCTTCGAGTATTACATTCCTTCATTCCTTGTGTTTAACTAGGCTGTAGAAAGGTTTAAAACTTTATCCCTGCCATGCAAAACGCAGCTAAGATGGTCAAGAAACTCATGAAATATTCATATAAGCAACAAATACTATATTTTTAATTCTGTGTATAAATGTTTGTGGCCTGTGACACATAGCAAATCTGAAATCCAAAACCCTGATTTTGTGAGTAGGAAGAGGAAGAATTCTTAATACGTGCCTTTGTTAACTGAGTTTTTTAGAACTGATCCTCTGAATCCAGCCCAAGAAGGATTCCCATACTTTTTTGCTTTAGGCCATTGACATTTGACCTAGTGGTCCAATGCTGTGCGGAGTTGAAGGGGAAAGTTGTGTTTGGTACATGCATTTTAAGTGATATGAAACTACTGCTTATTGTTGGTAATAACTTGGGGGGAATGAAAACCCTTCTGAATCCAGATAACCTGCCTCCGTGTTTGTTTCACTCACCTGCCTAATCTACATTTCAGGGAAGCTGTACACCACTAATGGTAGCAACTCTCCACCCTCAAGTAGCCACCATCACACCGCAGTATGCGGTGCCCTTTACTCTGAGCTGCGCAGCCGGCCGGCCGGCGCTGGTTGAACAGACTGCCGCTGTACTGGTAATTCCCCTCACTTGATTGTGTTACTAACGGAGTTTCTTTGGTTTCTTTTTTTTTTTTTTACTTTTTCCTGTTTGTTTTTGTTCTGTTTTCTTCTGGTTTTCTCATTTTTCCAAAAAAATTTTTTTAACTTAGTCTTTACAGAGGGCATGGAAGCATGTGCCATCTTGTGGCTGTGTTCTTGCTACATCTTTAATGTCTCATTGTTTTCCTCCCCAACATTTGCTGAAGCACTGTTTGACTCTGATGTTCAGTGTGGCTCTGAAAGGGGTCAGACCCCTTGATTCTTCTTTGCCAGCCTAGTGTGATAAAAGCTCTTGGTGTAGCCTCAGAAGAGCTTCAACACTGTTATCTGTTTCTCTGCCCTATCTTTTACCCTGTGAACCTTGAGAATGAAGGAAATGGCCTTTAGTTTGGCTCTGCTACAGGTACCGGATGGCCAAAATTGGAACTCCTTGGCAAGTTAGCTTCCTTCTTTATTGACTGTTTTAAGCTTCTAAAACTTTTGTGTATGTAGAAGTGTTTAAGATGCTCTTACTTTATTTCCTTATTAGTTGACATTAACTTTCCGTCTCTGAACACATGAAGATAACTCTTTGCCACTTACAATCAGTGACAGCTAATATCTTCCATTTAAACATCTTCCCTTTAGAGCCTTTTTAGATCATATTTCATTTGTTGGTTGAAATCAAAGGTGAACTCGTTTATAGGGGTTTTGGAGAAATTAATTATTTTACAAATAGGTCTTTATACAAAAGACCTATTTATACTGAAAAACTTTATGTAAGAATATCTTTGTTATCAAAAGTCATGGGGAAAATTTATTAAATATAGCAGCAAATGTAGTGTGGGTTTTAGAGATAGGAAAACAAACAAATAGGACTTCGAGGTATATTTCAGCATTTGTAACCTTAATAGTGATTTTTGGATGTGTTTGGTTTATTTGGGGGAGTTAGAATTATTTATTTGACATCTGGCATTTTATCATTTAAAATTTAAAATTAGATAAGCATTCGAAAACCTAATTGATACTGTTGACCCCTGATATTTGTTCATCTTTCAGAGTGGCTTTAAATTTCTTTTGTTGTTTCTCAAGGACTCGTGTGAGTGAAAAACACTTTCAGAATACATACTTTAGTTGCTGGAATTTCTTTGGTTTTCAATTTAAGAGTCTTTGTCACTGCCAAATTAATTACATCATAAGCATAAGCCCTGAGTGTGAGGGAGTCAGATATATTTCCAACTTGATTGATCCAAGCCACTGGTTTTAACTTGCACACCTGTAGTTTTGAGGTTGGGAATGTTAGTTGACACTTCTCCTTTGCTGCTTCTCTTAAGTTTGCACTAGCCATTTGCTAAGCTTTGCATATTTTTGTTCTTCCTCTGTCAAAACAGTTCGTCGCTTGGAACGCCAGATTTCTGCCTCACGTTGAAATGTTATTTCTTGCTTTGTATTAAACTACATGCTTTGTCTTGTGCAGGTGTTGGCTTATGGAAAGACGCATGGTGTGACTTAACATACTTCTCTTATTTTTTGTTTTGTTTTGTTTTGTTTTGAATTCTGCTTATGGTAGCAGACATGTTTGCAGTTTCTCTGATTTGAAGACTTCTTGTTTGGAACCGGTATTTGTAACAAGTGGATCTGTTACTTGCAGAAATATTTTTAAAACAGTGTGTTGATGGCCTTGCAGTTTGGAATTCCAGAAACAGAACCATATGTACCCAAGCATTGTAGGTGATTGTACTGTGGAATTCAGGTTTAAAAAGCAGACTTTCAAATCTGTTCCCATTTTTCTAGGAAATGCCACAATTTCCGTAAGAAGTACAGAAAACATATTTGTTGCTATTTATTGCAAGTGGCATGGCTTGTTAAGAACTACAAACAATATATTTTCTTTTAGTGATTAGTTTTTATGTCGAGTTATGTTTCTACAAATGATGCATCTTTAGGAAACTACTAAAAACAAAATATGGTACTCTCCGCATCTATTTCTTAAATATTTTTCTTATTGCATTTTTTAAAAATGCTATCACATGGCTATAAATGATGAAGTTAGCTTTCTCTTGCTGGCATTAAGCTTGTTTGCCAAAGGATTTTGGCCTTTGGTCATCCACATCTGGCTCCATTTTCCAAGGACTACCCTTTTAAAAAGGAACAATTCTCCTCTTTGTTTTATGGGTTGAATTGACCTGATGTCTTTTATCTGATTGGCACTCAAATTTTTAAATTCCTATTTTTAATCTCAAGGGAGTTGTCTTAACTCTTTCTTGGGATGTTTTTAGACTCTTTGCAAAAATGTTACTCCAGCATTTAACTAGAGCTTACTTCTGAACTTTCAGATTCCTTTACTCTGCAGTATAATAGAAACTCTTAACCACAGGGATCTTCTTTTCTTTAATACCCTGGTGGTCAGGTTATGGAGGTGGCCAAGAGAAGGCAGCGTGTTCTTTTTCCCCGTTCATAAGACTTGTAACCTTGAGCCCCTCTGACCTTCCTTTTTTAAATCTCTGCAAGTTAACAATCTACAAGAAACTTCTTTTAAGCTATTAATTTTTCTTTCATCTAAAAAACAGAAGAAAAAGCCAAGAGTGAGTCAAGTCTGGATCTTTTTGTGTTTGTTTCCTTACAGCAGGCTTGGCCTGGAGGAACCCAACAAATTCTCCTGCCTTCAACTTGGCAACAGTTGCCTGGGGTAGCTCTACACAACTCAGTCCAGCCCACTGCAGTGATTCCAGAGGCCATGGGCAGTGGCCAGCAGCTCACAGACTGGAGGCAAGTGCCCTGTGTTCCTCTCTGGGAGAATTTGCAAGGACAGGTCCCTTAGGGAAGGACCACTTGAGGATTTGGTGAGACAGGAAGAAGGTAAAGGAAAGGAGAGATTTATCTCTGTGTGAAATCCTTGAAGAAAAGAATCCATATCAGGCTAGGAGACGGAGTTACAAGAAAACTTTGAATGCAGGAAAACAGTAGGTTCTAAGTTCAGAAATTATTTACTTCAGATTTAAAGAAAGTGTTATGCAATAAACCATACAGTGAAAACCCCTAAAGCCTTATAATCCAGGTGCCCAACTATAAAAATAAAACACAGCTTTATTTGGTTGTTTTAATTGCTTTTAGTACCTATTTGGTCCTGACTTCCCAGTGTTTTCAGCATTCATACTTCTCTTTCTGATGATACAGGAATGCCCACTCTCATGGCAACCAGTACAGCACTATTATGCAGCAGCCATCCTTGCTGACTAACCATGTGACATTGGCCACTGCTCAGCCCCTTAATGTTGGCGTTGCCCATGTTGTCAGACAACAACAATCCAGTTCCCTCCCTTCAAAGAAGAATAAGCAGTCTGCTCCAGTCTCTTCTAAGTAAGTCTCTGTTAGGGCTGATAGTTAAAATTGCCAGTTTGAAAGATATGTCGCCTGGCATTTAGAGTGTTGGAGTATAGACACTTTCGGTATGAAGCAGCAAGAAGCTGCCAAATTGAAAAGAGCTAACCTTCGGGCATGCACGCAGAGGTGTTCTGGTTATGCTGATCCTTTCTCTCTGCTGCCACTTTGAATCCAGCCTTCTTTTGGCTGATGTTTTTAGTTTTCTGCCCACTTCACAGAGTGAAATTTAACCACGGGGTAAAGGGCATACAAAAATAAAATCTATATTCTAATTTTGGTGTTCTTGTCCTGGAAACCCTGGCTAGAGTGGTTAGTTTATTTTTTATTGGGACTTTTATAGTTAAGTGTATTGGCTTATTGATTTGGTAAGAAGGAATCAAAGAGTAAATTGGAAAGAGTTCTGGGGAAAAGATATCTAGTTTTGGGGACCAAGCACTGAATGATCTTTCTTGTGACCTTTTCCTACAGGTCCTCTCTGGATGTTCTGCCTTCTCAAGTCTATTCTCTGGTTGGGAGCAGCCCCCTCCGTACCACATCTTCTTATAATTCCCTAGTCCCTGTACAAGATCAGCATCAGCCAATCATCATTCCAGATACTCCCAGTCCTCCTGTGAGTGTCATCACTATCCGCAGTGACACTGATGAGGAAGAGGACAACAAATATAAGCCCAATAGGTAAGACAGGTGAATGGTTCCCTAGCTCTGGGGCTCCTGCCCTTGGTCTTAGTCTGTTGGCTTCACACAAGTGGCTCAATTTTGGCTATGAAAGGAAGGACTAAAAAGGGGTATTTAGGAAGCATGGCCGTGGATGAGTGAGCCAGAACACTCAAGTTTCCATAACTGAGCATTGTCAAGTTTTCTGTAATATTATACATGTTCATCAGTTAAATCAGTCGTTCAGATACATTAGATGGAAGGTATAGATTACGTTGTCAGGCTGTTCTGGCTTGGAATGCACATTATGTACTACCGACATGATCCCCTGCCTTTAAGGAACTTTAGAGTCTGAAAACAGATACTGTAACAGAAGCATGTAAAAAACAATTAATTGGAACAAGTTGGTAGATATGAGATTATATGAAATTCGTGTAATTTTTTAATCTGAACAGACCTCTTTGGAAGAGGTAGAACTTTAAGTAGGGCTACCTTCTTTTCCCCCCTCTGCTATATGGTCATTCAGTTTAAGAATTTAAGTACCAGATTATTTCCTCTTATCCCAGCACCTTAATCCAAGTCCTTAATTGGGCAGTTAACTAAGAGAGATAGGATACATTTAAGAACTATGATACACACCTCTCTTGGTGTGAACATAGTCAGTTGCCTTGATTGTTCTGTGTTCTTCTTCATTGTGTTTTTGGTGTTAGGCATATAGAAGAAGCAATAACTCTACTTTTACCTGAGGAGGAAGGATTCACGCATGAAAGTAACTTAGGAGACTTAACAGAGTCACGTGTAAATGAAGTTTAAATGAACTTGAAAGAGTAAATTTAGAATGAAATACTTCAAAAGGGCTATTTACAAATGGTATTTACAAATGGCTATTTACAAATGGTAAATAGACTTGAAACTAAGTTTTGAAAGTGGTTATTGAACTGATTTGGGGAAGAAAAAAGTTAACTTTCCAGTGAAGAAAAGGGGCCTAGTACTGGCAAAAATTATATAACCAGCAGGATTGCTTTGACTGGAGGCAAGCCTATTAAAAATTAAGGAAAAGGTAAAGTTAGTAAGGTAGGGATCATTTTGTGAAGAAACTTTTTTTAAAAACACCTATAGTGAGAAGTTTGATTAGATACAGTAAAGAACCATTTATAGTCTAGCAGGGTGATATGAAAATAAAGTGGTGTTTGAAGAATGCTGTTGAAATAACTGCGAATGGGAATGGCTAAGAGGCAACATAAAATAGTTGCTAGAGGTGTGTACTTTGGAGTCATTCTGTCCTGGATCTGAATCCTGTCTTCACAACTTATCACTTGTGTGACCTTGGTCAAGTTTCTTAATCTCCATCTCCCTCTGCCTCAGTTGCCTTATCTGCAAAACAGGGATAAAGTACCTACTTCATGGAAGTGTTGTGAGATATGTGTAGAGTGTAAGAATAGTGCCTGATGCATAATAAGCACTCAGAAATTTGTTGCTGCTACTGTTGTTATTATTACTATCATCATGATTATCATCATTTTTATTATGGGAAGACCAGAGACCAGCAAAGAAACATTGCTAAAAGGGGGTTGAATTTTCATGTATTTTCTTCTCCTCAGCTCTGGCCTGAAGGCAAGGTCTAATGTCATCAGTTATGTCACTGTCAATGATTCTCCAGACTCTGACTCTTCCTTGAGCAGCCCATATTCCACTGATACCCTGAGTGCTCTCCGGGGCAATAGTGGACCCCTTCCGGAGGGTCCCGGCAGAGTCGTGGGGGATGGCGCTGGCACCCGCACCATCATTGTACCTCCACTGAAAACTCAGCTTGGTGACTGCACTGTAGCAACCCAGGCCTCAGGTGAGTTTGTTCACAGCTGGAGTTGAATGCTCCTTCGATGTGTGTATCTTTAGTATTTTGCTATAATCTGCTTTTGCCAATGGTACAGACCAGTGGTGTAGATTTTCCTAAAAATTGCCTAGTTCAGAAATCAGTTCCTTGTGATATGAAATTGTTTTTGGCCCTCAGTTTATCTTCCTGTGTTTATTTTGCTTGGATCAATATAAAAGTGAGTTTGTAGACTCAGTAATACACTCACTGTTGATGGGAGAAGGTAGATACAACTTTTGTTAGATGGCAGGGAGAATTAACAGGCAGGTTTTTTTGCCACAGGTGATTCAGATTTGACAATCCAGAAATGAATGGGAACTGATAATATTAAAAGTGATTGCAAAAGTTTTTTTGGAAAACAATATGTACTTTAGATCTTTTCTCGCCCAGTGGCATAGCAGTGATGCTTTTGTGGGTTGTATTGTCAACCAAATTACCTCCATCTGTTTTGCTCTGTGAGATGCTGGGTTTAGGTTCCCGGGTTCAGTTATTGGGTAATGAAATGCTAACTGCAGTAACAAGCCCCAGTTTTCGTGGCTTAACATAATAGAAATTTATTTCTTAGTCACGTGAGTTCCCAGTGCAAGTGCTCCTGGTTGGTGGGCCTGGCAGCGAGTTAAGGATCAGAGCCTTGGAATCCTCAGCATCCAATCAGAAGGAGAAGGAAAGTATGGAGGAGGCACACACAGTTTTTAACCTCTTTAGCCCCGGAAATAGTGAAAACTCATCACATGGCCCCACCTAGAGGCAAGGGGGCCCAGAAAAATGTAGTCCTTGTCTAGGCAGCTCTTTTCCAGTGGCAACTCTATACACCAAAGGCGAGGACTGTGAAATTTTGGCATCGATATAGCCATCTCTTCGTACTTTTATGAATTAGTGTTTTACCATGAATTATAATACTGCCGAAGACATAAACAGTGTTCTAGTTTGAGGGTGACGTGTGGTTCTCCTCCTGAGAAGTAGACAACTGTCCATTGCAGACAGGGCAAAACTTCCTGATGCCAGGCTACTGAGAAACATTATTAGGAGCTCTGTCCACTATTGGGTCCAAAGAAAATAGGTTGCTCCACAAGTCACTGAATAAATGCTCCAGTTTTCCTAGTGGGACCACAGAAGGAAGCAAAATTTTGAAAATTGATCGTGCTTATATTCAGCTGCACTTTCTGCAGTTTCTTAGAATTTGAAGACAGTGAATGCCCAACAAGATATAATCTTGTCTTCCTTTAAACCCTTTGACACCTAAATGTTCCTAAATATTACCAATATCTTACTCAGCTTCACATTGTCATTTCTGTACTTGTTTAATCCCTTCCTACATAAACTCTAGGCTCCTTGAGAGCAGGGACCATGTCTTACTTGTGTTTATATTTCTAATAGTACCTTTCACATTACTGGAGATTAGATAATATTTACTGAAGTGAACCTTTTGAAGATCTTTATGGAGCTTTGTAGAAAGACAGAAAAGAAATGGATAATACAGTTTTTGTTCTTCTAGTGTAAATGTAATTGAGGAAATAAGATACACATGAAACCTTAACTCTTGCAAACCTCATACAAACATGGACTGATTAATATGATGCCATCTGAGGTTTAGCTCAGTGATACTGAGTCCACGTCTGCTCATAACTAAAGCCTGACCCTTTCTTAGGTCTCCTGAGCAGTAAGACCAAGCCAGTGGCTTCAGTGAGCGGGCAGTCATCTGGATGCTGTATCACCCCCACAGGTTATCGAGCTCAGCGCGGGGGGACCAGCGCAGCACAGCCACTCAACCTTAGCCAGGTAAGCACTAGGGGCTGCTGCCTTCTGTTTGGGGCCCCCGCTATTGTTACTCTCTGGAGAACCCTGCTTCTGGCTGGACTGCTGAATAAAGCCAAATGAAGTCCCTTTTGTGTCAAACAATTTGGTGTTCCATGGCCTGTGTCATATCTGTATGTGTTGTGTCTCTTCATTCCCTCTGTAAATGTGTTCAGAATGTACGTTCCAGGTTTTCCATCAGACCTCCGTAGTCTATCCTGGAAGATGAGAGAAATGTGTGGAATTTAGAAAGTGCCTAGGATGCTTTAGTTCTTGCCTCGTTCTGCACCACCACATGCATTGAGACTAGATTCTCTTTCTTTATCTCCTGGGTCATAAATAACCTGAGCCTTACTCTGTTTACTTGAAGCAAGAGACAGTGAAAAAGCTTTCTGGATACTTAATCAACTGGTTCTAGTCTTACATGGTGCTTGAGTCTGGGATTTGGGGCTTTTTTCCCCCATCTGATCCTCTGATGGGGTGGGGAGGGTCACTATTCTATTTGTGTTCACTTTTTCCTCAGCTGAAATTCTGGTGCTTGTATGATGTCTACTAGTAGTGAGAAAGTGTAAATATGAGGGTGTAACTGTGTGGTTGTGTGTGTGTGAGAGAGAGAGAGCACATGCAGGTGCAAATGTAAGTTTGAGTTAGTGCATGTGTCTTGGGCTCCACAGTTCAAGAGGGATATGAAAAACTTAGAGGAGAGCAAGAGAAAACAATGGCAAGGAAGAAAGGTTAGGAAAAATTCAGTCACTGATGCCAGAATAGGGTGAGTTGAGTCGACAGTTATTTACTTGCAGGAGTGAGTAACCCTATGAACTCTTGATTTCCCCCTTTCCTCTGTCATACTTGAGAGCAAACTGCTGCTGTCTGGGCTGGGTTACGATCTATTCTGCCAGGAGGCAGAGGGATGGATGGCTGACTTCTGACAGCATTGCCAGTCTGGGAGATTCTGTGCTATGGCAGCCCAGAAGCAGTATGAGTTAGAACCTCAACTCTCAAATTGGCCTTTGGTGCCCTGAGCCAGGGTGACCTCAAGATTCCTCACTTCCTTCTTCCTCCTTCCAGAACCAGCAATCATCATCAGCTCCAACCTCGCAAGAGAGAAGCAGCAACCCTGCCCCCCGCAGGCAGCAGGCGTTTGTGGCCCCGCTCTCCCAAGCCCCTTACGCCTTCCAGCATGGCAGCCCACTACATTCGACTGGGCACCCACACCTGGCCCCAGCCCCTGCTCACCTGCCAAGCCAGCCTCACCTGTATACGTATGCTGCCCCCACTTCTGCTGCTGCATTGGGCTCCACCAGCTCCATTGCTCATCTCTTCTCCCCGCAGGGCTCCTCAAGGCATGCTGCAGCGTATACCACCCACCCTAGCACTCTGGTGCACCAGGTCCCTGTCAGTGTTGGGCCCAGTCTCCTCACTTCTGCCAGCGTGGCCCCTGCTCAGTACCAACACCAATTTGCCACCCAGTCTTACATTGGGTCTTCCCGAGGCTCAACCATTTACACTGGATACCCACTGAGCCCTACCAAGATCAGCCAGTATTCTTACTTGTAGTTGGTGAGTATGAGGGAGGAGGGGTCAGAGTTCTTAATGGGCTGTGATGAGCTCCTCCCTCACCCTCTCCTGAAACTCCTTAGCCAGCAACTTGCTCTGCAGGGGCCCACTGAAGCAGGCGGCTTTTCTCTGGGGAACCTGTCTCAGTGTTGACTGCATTGTTGTAGTCTCCCAAAGTCTGCCCTATTTTTTAATTCTTTATTTTTGTGACAGCATTTTTGGTATTTGGAAGAGTTCAGATGCCCATCATCTGCAGTTACCAAGGAAGAGAGATCATTCTGAAGTTAACCTTTGAAAAATATTTTCTCTCTCTGACTTGATTTCTATAAATGCTTTTAAAAACAAGTGAAGTTCCTCTTTATTTAACTTTATTTTATTGTAATTGCTGGTCAGAGGAAAAATGCTGATAGAAGGACTTGAAATCTGATAACAAGAAAAGAAAAATCATTACTTTCTGCTTGTTTAAAAACCAAGACTTAATTGCTTATCTTAAGAGCAGCTTGCACAAGTCTGTATTTTACTATCTTGCATTTCTCCTCAAAATTTTACCTTTGCTAATGGGACGTTTAAGCTTACAGTGTTTCAATTTTGTTTTCATGTCATGTTATATTTAGTGGGAAATTGTTATTTTTGCAAAACTGGTTACATACTACTCTCTGTTACTGTTGGGATTCTCTCAGTTGCTCCTGTGTTTATTATTAAAGTAGTGTTAAAAAGGCAGCTCACCATTTGCTGGTAACTTAGTGTGAGAGAATCCATACCTACCGTGAAAGCACCAGGTATTCTTTCTAAATGAACCCTGTGCATTCTTTTTAAATTATTTTTAAAAAGTCCTTCTCTCTCTGATTTAGCTTAAATTTTATTATTGGAAAAGCCATTAAGGTGGTTATTATTGTATGGTGGTAGTTGTTTTATTATATGCAAAATCTCTTTGTATTATGCGATACTGGCATTGATGAGCTTTGCCTAAAGGTTGTTGGCATCGATGAGCTTTGCCTGAATATTAGTATGAATTTTCAATAATACACCTCTTTCTCTCTTTGCCTCAGCTCTCCCTTCATTCTATGTGATTTATTTGGGGAGAAAGCTAAAGGATCTGAAACCGGATAAGAAACGTTGTGTATAGCTTTTATACTTTAAAGTAGCTTTCTTTGTATGCCAGCAGCAAATTGAATGCTCTCTTATTAAGACTTATATAATAAGTGCATGTAGGAATTGCAAAAAATATTTTAAAAATTTATTACTGAATTTAAAAATATTTTAGAAGTTTTGTAATGGTGGTGTTTTAATATTTTGCATAATTAAATATGTACATATTGATTAGAAGACTATAACAAGCAATTTTTCCTGCTAACCCAAAATGTTATTTGTAATCAGATGTGTAGTGATTACACTTGAATTGTGTATTTAGTGTGTTTCTGATCCTCCAGTGTTACCCCGGAGATGGAATTGATGTCTCCATTGTATTTAAACCAAAATGAACTGATACTTGTTGGAATGTATGTGAACTAATTGCAATTATATTAGAGCATATTACTGTAGTGCTGAGTGAGCAGGGGCATTGCCTGCAAGGAGAGGAGACCCTTGGAATTGTTTTGCACAGGTGTGTCTGGTGAGGAGTTGTTCAGTGTGTGTCTCTTCCTTCCCTTTCTCCTCCTTCCCTTATTGTAGTGCCTTATATGATAATGTAGTGGTTAATAGAGTTTACAGTGAGCTTGCCTTAGGACGGACCAGCAAGCCCCCGTGGACCCTAAGCTGTTCACTGGGATTTATCAGAACAGGATTAATAGCTGTGTTGTGTATATGCATTGTTCTCAGTTTCCCTGCCGACACTGAAAAATAAAAACAGCAGCTTCTCTTTTTTACTGCCACCTCTACCCCTTTCCATTTTGGATTCTCAGCCGAGTTCTCACAGAAGCATTTTCCCCATGTGGCTCTCTCACTGTGCATTGCTACCTTGCTTCTGTGAGAATTCGGGAAGCAGGTGAGAGGAGTCAAGCCAATATTAAATATGCATTTTTTTTCTTTCTTTTTTTTTTAAGTATGTGCAATCACTTTTAGATGAGATTTATTTTTTCCTTTTCCCATGTGGCAGTCCTTCCTGCAAATAGTTGATATTCCTAGTAAAATATTTGCTTGTTGAAAAAAACATGTAACAGATGTGTTTATACCAAAGAGCCTGTTGTATTGCTTCCCACATCCCCAATACTATGAGGAGGAGTTTTGTGAAGCCGCTGGTGACAGGGAACTCAAAGAAAGGTTTCTTAGCCGGTGAAGAATATTTAGAAGGAACCAAAGCCTGTTGAGCCATCGGGCTTTTGAGGTTTCTTTTTAACAACTTGTGTATTCTTGGGGCCCTTCAAACTGTGAAAGTGTCCTTGTACTCTCAGCTCCTACACGGATCTGGGTCAAGTAGAGAGTACTGGGGATGGCAAAGTTCCTGCCCATTAAAGATTTGGGGGAAGAAGGTTAACCCTAAGATGTAGACATGTTCCATCTGAACTGAAAATTATGTATTTGAGGGATAAGTCTAGGACTGGTTCTTTGTAGAGATGGTGTCAAGGAGGTGCAGGATGGAGATGGGAGATTTCATGGAGCCTGGTCGGCAAGCTCTGTACCAGGTTGAACACCGAGGAGCTGTCAAGGTATTTGGAATTTCTTCATTGTAAGGAGGAAGGGCTTTCAAGATGGGGCAGATAGTCAGTATAGCCTACCAGGAACATGTTGGTGTTTTCTACTTTTTTTTTTTTTATCATTATTTTGTGTTTTCAGCATTATATTGATCAAGATACCCAAGCAGTTTGTATAGTTTCTGTCACTAGTGTTATACAGTTTTCTGGTCAGTGTGTGCAATCTTTGTGTCTCTTTTTGCCAAGCGCATTCTCATTTTCATGCTCAAAGGCAGATCTAGTTTCTAATGGAAATATTTTTTGTTCCTTATCTTTACAAGGGATAAGATTTGTTGTTTTTGTAAGAAATGAGATGCAGGAAAAAAACACTCCACTCCTGCTCACCCTACCCCCCCACCCTCAGTCCAGTAAGTGGATACCACTTAAGATAGGAGTCTTCACGGGGAGAAGACAATACCAAGAGCTTATATTGTTACCATAATCACCTTACTAGCAGTGTGTGGCTTTAAGAATTTTAGAGATCTTCAGTATTAGTTTTGCAAATTGGCATTTCAGATTTACCAAGATAAAAATCTATCTGTGTCTGCTGAATGTGTATGTGCTCAGTGTGGCTTTAGATTCTGTCTCTGGGGCTTAACATTGCTGGCCCTGACAGGATGGGGGAAGCTCCAAGAATAAAGTGAGCAGCTGGCCCAGGTCACAGTGGCCTGACCTCAGACCAGCTTAAGGCTTTAAGTCCTGTCAGAACTTGTATTTCCAGCTTCTCCCCTTCAGGGTGAGAGAGAAAATGGGAAGGGTTAGGTACAGCCACTCTAGGCTCATCTGGACACTTGATCACTCTGGAGTTTTTAGTAGCTTCCAGGAAGTGATACTATGGTCAGTGCTCAGCTAAAATCCCAGCCCCAGGAATGAGAACTTCATTTAAACAGTTCTGACCATCCATCGTCCTCCACTAGAGGGGCTAAACTTGACTGCCCTTAGCCAGGCAAGCGCAGTAGTGTGTGTTTTATTCAGCATTATTATGCAAAAACCCACTGGTTAGGATGGTTTGTTTTAGGATAGGAAATGAAATTGCCTCTCAGTGACAGGAATGACCCAAGCCTGCTTCCTGTTTCAATTTTTTTTTTTTTAACTGATGGATGGTGCAGCATGTCTACATGGTTGTTCGTTGCTAAACTTTATATAATACGTGGTTTTGATTCAGCTTGAAAAATAATCTCACTACATGTAGCAGTACATTTTATGTACATTATATGTAACGTTAGTATTTCTGCTTTGAATCCTTGATATTGCAATGGAATTCCAAGTTTATTAAATGTATTTGATATGCTAGTTATTGTGTGCGATTTAAACTTTTTTTGCTTTCTCCCTTTTCTGGTTGTGCGCTTCCTTTTATGACAAGCCTCTAGAAACAGTTTCTGAGAATTACTGAGCTATGTTTGTAATGCAGATGTACTTAGGGAGTATGTAAAATAATCATTTTAACAAAAAGAAATAGATATTTAAAATTTAATACTAACTACGGGAAAAGGGTCCATTGTGTAAAAACATAGTTTATCTTTGGATTCAATGTTTGTCTTTGGTTTTACAAAGTAGCTTGTATTTTCAGTATTTTCTACATAATATGGTAAAATGTAGAGCAATTGCCATGCATCAATAAAATGGGTAAATTTTCTGATTCATGTGGCTGTTTTTGACTTCTCTTATAGGGGTACAAAGGGGATCAACAATTGGCATCTTTGGAGTGACTAAAGACATTGCATCTGAACGCCAATAGAGTGTTAGAGACAACTTCATTCTTCATACAAATCTCCGCCCCAGAAATAAATAGGGGTCGGTAGGGAATACTTCCCAAGAATGGAGTGTCCAGGGCCCTAACTTAAGATCATCTGGATCTGGCCCTTTGAAAGATGCAGAAACTTCTGACACAGGCTAATTAAACTTTGCTTCCTAGCATGTTCCACCAAACATCTAAAGTACCAGAATGCAAATAAGAATAACCACAAGACGATGCTATTTTCCCCTCCTTTCAGAAAGCTGCACTGTTAGAAGAATCGTTTTTTTTTTCTTCTTATAACATCTTTATTGGAGTATAATTGCTTTACAATGGTGTGTTAGTTTTTGCTGTATAACAAAGTGAATCAGCTATACATATACATATATCCCCATATCTCCTCCTTATCCCACCCCTCTAGATGGTCGCATCTCCCTGTGCTATGCGGCTGCTTTCCACTAGCTGGCTGTTTTACATTTGGTAGTGTGTATATGTCCATGCCACTCTCTCACTTCATCCCAGCTTACCCTTCCCCCTCCCCATGTCCTCAAGTCCAAGGAGTAGTTTTTTTTTTTCTTTAGAGGAGGACTTTGGCTCAGATTTCTCTTAAGTGAGTGATTAAAGTAAAATTTCTCCTGATAAAGAATTAGAGATTTGTCTAGATTCATCACTGTGGGGCTCTGAATAAATGCTATGCTCATTTGACTTCTTTTGATGCATGTGTTTCAGGACAAGTCTGTCTTACAGTGGCCATTAATTTTTTGGGCTCCTGTAGTCATAGTTGGGATATGGAAATGAGAAACATTTAGAAACATCCTTTTGGGCCATAACCAAGAGAAGTTATCAATAGTCTGTTCTCTCCCATTAGTAGGGAAGTCAGAGTACGTTTATTTTGATTTAGACTGCAACATATATATTTTTCATTTTTTTTTTCCTAAATAAATGAATGTAAAATTAGTGTGAACTCACTGAACACTCCCCAGTTTGGGTAAGAGAATATGCCTAGAAACTTTCAGGCAAAGGAAAACTGTATATAGAAAGACTGCAGTCAGTCTCACTTCCAGATAATCAAGAATTAATTTACTAATTTCTCAATGACCTGTTTTGGGTTTTTTGGTTTTTGTTTTTTAGTTTTAATCTCAGATACATTCTCTTTCTTAGGCTAAATCAGAGAGAGATTGGGATAGCCCCATAAGTAATTGGATAGTCCGTGGGGAAAGCTGCATTTTAATCATGAAAACCCCTGTAAATTCAATCTACTTGGCTTGCTTTGTGGGAAATTTTCCACTGGAGGTGAACTTGGTTTCCCTATTAATTCTGAGATGACACCAGGTGCTTAGCACAAGATGGCGCCAGTGAGCTGTAGAAGAAGGTACTACAGACTTGACCACTGTGGCCTTTCTTCCCACCCCTTCCCCTCAAACCTCATCTCCCCTGCTTCCAGCTTCCACTAAAGGCAGAAAACAATCCATGCTGTTATTGCTGGGAAAGGAAAGGATTAACGAAGGATGGTTCTTAAGTCAGCATTGGAAGCATTCTAAAGCAGGAATAGAGTTTGTTAAATTTCCTCCGGGGCCTCTGCCTCCCCCTGCTAGCTCCTTTTCCTGGGTGACTGCCCAGAAGGCCTTTGCCCTAGGGTTTCCAATCTCCTTCTCCTCTCCTGGGGAGCCCACGGCCTAGGCGGGAGGCGGTTAAGCCTTCTGGCTGCTCTGCAATAGGGCCATCTGTGTTTGATCAATCCAAGCGGAAAGGAGGGGGTGGGGCCCGTAAAGAGACTGTGAAAGCATTCCAGAGTAGTGAGAGAGCCCCGAGATCCTGCAAGAGAGAAGGCACCGCCCCCAGCCCGGCCTCCGAAGCTAACCCGCCGGCTTGAGTGGAAGAGGCCGTGTGCACACGACTACACACTTGGTCTACCCTGGCCCTACTCTCCCGCAGCCATGGGGCCCCGCACCCCGCTCCTTATCTTGTTCCTTTTGTCTTGGTCGGGACCCCTTCGAGGACAGCAGCACCACCTTGTGGAGTACATGGAACGCCGACTAGCTGCCTTAGAGGTAGGTGTCTCCTTTCTCTTCTGGCCCAGCCTGGAAGGATTCCACATCTCCTGTTGATTCAACCAGTTTGTCAGGGATATGGGGATGACAAATTAGGGCTCTCGTAAGAACCTCCAGAAAACTCCATCTTTTAATAAGAGGATCCTCAAAATTGCAAGTCCTCCTCTTTCCCCACATACAGAAAGCAATTCCAAAGCAAATAGACCTTTGTGTTTCACCCCTGGGCTTAGATGGGATAAGGAAAGAGAGTGGAAATTGAGAGCTAGAATTATGGGAATGCATCTCAGGATGAGCTGATGATTCTTTTAAAAGCTGGAAGTTCTCAGAGAATCCGCAACTTTCTGCCTTTTTAACAGCTTGGAGTCTGTAGCATCCTAATTCCCAAGAAGAGGATCGTATAATGGAGCAGAGGTCCCTTCTCACCCTCATGCACTTAGACTGCCCTAGAGGCTCAGAGAAGTCAGTGGCACTGCTCACAGCACGGCCGGAGGATGCAAAGTCGGGATGGGGGCCTAGATGGACCTTAGCTGAGCTCTTTGCGCATTTTAGCATCTTGAACATTTGGTTTTCTCTCTGTGGAGGTTGAAGGGGATGCTGATGCCTGGCTGAGTTTTGCTTTTTCCCATTCCTGACTCCCTGGTTGGGCCTCTCCCTGCCTGAGAGTTGTAACCCTTCGACCTTCCTTCCTGCTGCCCCATCCCTTTAGGAACGGCTGGCCCAGTGCCAGGACCAGAGTAGTCGGCATGCTGCTGAGCTGCGGGATTTCAAGAACAAGATGCTGCCGCTGTTGGAGGTGGCCGAGAAGGAGCGGGAGGCACTCAGAACTGAGGCTGACACCATCTCTGGGAGAGTGGACCGCCTGGAGCGGGAAGTGGACTATCTGGAGACCCAGAACCCAGCCCTACCCTGTGTAGAGGTTGATGAGAAGGTGACTGGAGGCCCTGGGGCCAAAGGCAAGGGCAGAAGAAACGAAAAGTACGATATGGTGACAGGTAAGCAATCTGAAACAGACCCCTGTATTCTTCCTTGGTTCTTCCCCTTTTTTCTCCTTATCCCAGTCCATTTGGCTCTGTCTTCTAGAATCTGTTTTAGGGAAATCTCTGTACTATCAGATTCATTAAGGAGAGTTTCTGGGGACCCAGGCCTCTGTGGTGCTCTTTGCCCCAATCCTCCATGAGAGTGGAGGCGTCCACTGGGCAAAGGCCCAACTGTTCTCCAGATAGCCCACCCTGGGGGGTTCCTGCAGTGAGCATCTAACTCTTGCCTGTTTTTCCTTGTCCTGTGCTTTTCTCCTTTCCCACCAGACTGTGGCTACGCAATCTCTCAGGTGAGATCAATGAAGATCCTGAAGCGGTTTGGTGGCCCAGCTGGTCTGTGGACCAAGGATCCACTGGGGCCAGCAGAGAAGATCTACGTGTTAGATGGGACCCAGAATGACACAGCCTTTGTCTTCCCAAGGCTGCGTGACTTCACCCTTGCCATGGCTGCCCGGAAAGCTTCCCGAGTCCGGGTGCCCTTCCCCTGGGTAGGCACGGGCCAGCTGGTATATGGTGGCTTTCTTTACTATGCCCGGAGGCCCCCTGGAGGACCTGGAGGGGGCGGTGAGTTGGAGAACACTTTGCAGCTCATCAAATTCCACCTGGCAAACCGAACAGTGGTGGACAGTTCAGTATTCCCAGCAGAGGGTTTGATCCCCCCGTACGGGCTGACGGCAGACACGTACATAGACCTGGCGGCTGATGAGGAAGGCCTTTGGGCTGTCTATGCCACCCGGGAGGACGACAGGCACTTGTGTCTGGCCAAGTTAGACCCGCAGACACTGGACACAGAGCAGCAGTGGGACACACCATGTCCCAGAGAGAATGCTGAGGCTGCCTTTGTCATCTGTGGGACCTTATACGTTGTTTATAATACCCGCCCTGCCAGTCGGGCCCGCATCCAGTGCTCCTTTGATGCCAGTGGCACCCTGACCCCTGAAAGAGCAGCACTCCCTTATTTCCCCCGCCGATATGGTGCCCATGCCAGCCTCCGCTATAACCCCCGAGAGCGCCAGCTTTATGCCTGGGATGATGGCTACCAGATTGTCTATAAGCTGGAGATGAGGAAGAAAGAGGAAGAAGTTTGAGGGAGCTAGTCTTGTGTTTTGAATCTCTTTCACCTCCATACATTTATATCCCGACTAAATTTCCTGCTCGTCATTCAGGGCAAGTTGTGATTCACATCTCATATTTTCAGCCAATGGAAGCCAAATTCTCATTGCCCCTTCATTTCACATGGGACTCCAGATCTCGAGGAATCCTTTTAGAGCTAAAAGAGAGAAAGCCCTAAATGTTCACTCCTCTCTTGCCCCATGTCAGCAGATTTCAGGCCGATGAAAGATGAGCCAGTTCCAGAGCTCTGACCCTTATACATATGGAGGCGACCCTAGTGAACAGGCAACAGAATATTTCTCGCCTCAGTGCGAGTCAGGGGAGAGAGAGGGCTAGGAGGAGATGTTAGACTCTGCCCTCTCTCCCTTCTCCCTTCAGTGCCCTAGAGGATGGGACTCGTTCTGTACTGCAGCGTTTTGCATTAAAAGGAAAATCCACTGCTCCTTGCCTGTGTTTGTTTGGGGTAGTCCTCAGATCAGATTTCTCCCCGTGATCGTCCATCTTCTCCTCTGCCACATCCCCGCTCCTTAAGCCGCATTAGGGACTTGGCTGGGCTCCCTTGCCTAGCGAGAGGGGCTTCTCCAGTTTCAGACTTCACTGGGAGGTGCCTGGGGAGGCGGCAGAATCCCAGCACTTCCAGAGGCTGGGGCAAAAGCCCCCGGTGCCCACCGTCCTCCACAGCAGCCCTCCCAGAACCACCAGCGG